AAAAATAAACTTCTAATATTTGTTGCTTTCAAAAAATAAAACAAAAAATAGAAAGTTTCTACTTTCCAAGGGCTAGGATTTTGTTTATTTTATGGTGCATTTTTAAAAAGCTCTTTAAGATCTATTCTGGAAAAAAAACAGGGACGTAGAGACGAACCAATCCTAAAATATCGCTCCACCAAATAAAATTCTCTCTTGAGGTCTAAATTTGAACTTCTGACAAAGTAAAAACACTATAAATTACTGGGAAAGGTGGAAAATAATGCAAGAGTAAAAAATAGTTGAAGGAACAGAAAGATGGGAATAGAAAACACAACAAGGAAATTTCTTTTAATTTGTAAAAGACATTAACTCATCTCAGAGAGCCACAGTCCAGATATATTCGATTTATATGTGACTTTATATGCGAATCTAAACTGTAAGGAGTAAGAAAATCAGGACAATCATTTATTATATACTGTTAATAGTTTAAGTTTGTGTGTGTGAGTGTTTGTGTGGTGTAATAGAGACAGAGAGACGGCATGAAAGAATGAAAAGGTTACCTTTGCCAAGTAATCCCAAAAGTGTCGTCAGTGGCACTGGGGCCATAATGCCTGCCGTTTTGAGTCACGCTCCAGTCACACTTCCTCTGTCAATTGAAACCTAGCAGTCAGATCACTGGGCCAAGACAACTTCCACTTCAGATTACACTACAACTGAACACTGTATACACAAATGCATGCAGAAGGGCCTAAAGCAGGAGCAGCAGTCATAAAAAAAACGACTCCAAAATGAGTCCTAACTGTTACTGACAATGTAAAAATATCTAATGGAATCAGTATATTCATTTTATGTTGGGGAAAATAACAGTAAAATCAAAGCTAGGGATAAAACAGACATAAAGAAAAGGCATGCAATCACAGTTAGTGGTAACAGCTAACCTGGAAGTAAAAAAAATGGAGTTAGTTAGTTACAAATGTGAGTGGCATCATATTGGTAGTTCATCTGTGAGCGGTTACTGCTTTTCAAGCCGGCTAGCCGATGAAGCCATGCAATCCACTGGATGCATGCACCCTGTCGATAATCATTGCTTCCCTGTAAGTGCACTTTAAGATTCAGAAAGGAGTACGCATGCCCTCAAGCATGCAGACTTTTTTTCATTAGCTAACTGTTTTTATTGATTAGGGGTCAAAATTGTACAATGAAGTTAAACAGCACAGATGCGCGCACACACACACATACACACACATGCACGCGCACACTAACCCCCCCTCTTAAAACATGCCAACCTTACATACAGATTACAAATTACTGCAACAAAAAAGCCACACACAAACCGTGTCTCCTTTGCATGCATTATGCGAGCGCACGTGTCAGCAATCCAGCTGAGAGCTATCTCTGCCAATACCAACCTAACCTTGCCCTGTGGTCAACACATTCATTTAGTAATGCATCGGGATAAAACTGCACTGTTAGCACTCTGCGTGCAGTGGCAGACGTTTTTGCAGAGGCTCTTAAGAGGGATTTAATCAGATATACGCATACGCTGAATATTCAAAGCCATTTGCGGTGGTCGAGAAATGTGTTCTTTCTCCTCCGAGCACCTGGATGAACACATCAGGAGACGATGATGGTTTCCTACTTAAGCCATACTTAAATACAGTGATGTGTTTTTTTGTTATGTTCCTTGTTTTTTTTCTGGAACAAATGTGAAGTGAACAGAGAATTTTAGGAGTTAATGTCAAAAAGCCTTTCAATGATGCAATGACCCTCCAATATGTTACAATTTCATACACTGGTTTCACTTGATCAAAAGCTGCTTAATACAAGTGAATAGGAAACAATGCATCTTGTTCCATCCAGATTGTTTTCTCTGTATTTATCGAAGGTTGGGAGTCTAAACCCCCGCGCCGCTCCCGCGCTCTCCAGCCTGACAAAAGCTTGGGGAGAATGTGCGGGCTGGGCCAGACGCTCGGTGCCACCGCTCCTCGAGGGGCTCGCCATCTGTCCGCTGGCACCGGCACATCAGAGTGGCACGGGCAGCGGGGTAAAGGGGGACGGAGCCGGGGAACGTTAGCAAACAGATGCGGGCAGATTGTGGATTAGGATCCTTCCTTAGATAATACCAAATGACATCTGATCACGGATCTTTCCCTGTGGAATGCTAGATGGTGGCGTTCCCTTGAGGGGTTAACCAAGGCGAGAGATGAATGGAGGGTTTTCACACATTTGCTGCCTGGGAATCGTAGAGCAGGTGTGGTGGTGTTGTTTTGTTTTTTTTTAGGTTTTTTTAATTTTTGAAGCCTGCTGTGTGTGTGTGTGTG